CTCTTCAGGGTATATTCCCAGTAGTGGAATTGCTGGGTCAAATGGTATCTCTATTTGCAACTTTTTGAGAAAGCGCCATACTGCTTCCCACAGGGGTTGCACCATTTTACACTCCTACCAACAGTGAATCCGGGTTCCAGTTTCTCCACAAACTCGCCAGCATTTGTTGCTTGCTGTTCTGTTAAATTTTGCTATTTTGGCTGGGGTGAGATGATATCTCATAGTTGTTTTTAAAGAGAAAAGCGAAGGTGGAATGGAAGGAGGTAAGGAAGGAAATGTGCAATAATGAGTTAATGGAAATAATTTTCATTCTTTATAAGTATTATTTGTTGTTGTTATTTTAAATATCTCTATCACCTTACTTACTATTTTTTAATCAAATTTTTATTTTATATTGGTTTGCTTATGAAGTTCACATACATTTTCTTCACACCCCTCCCTTTACCCATCAGATTGTATAACCCTTTTATTTGCCCCTTCTCACCCCTCTGCTCCTACTTCCCTCCTTGGTTCCTCATACAGGTTTTATTAGTTACCTTTCTATTTCTACAATAATGGTATAATATAGTATTTGTCCTTATGGCACTGAGTTCATTCACTAGCATAATGTTCTCCAGACCCTTGCAAGTTATGTAGTGATTATCAAAATTATTGCTCCTGCATGCTCTGTAGTATTCCATAGTGTGAATGTACCATAATTTCCCCAACCCATTTGATTGTGGTTGCACATTTGGGCTGTTTCCATATTCTTGTGATTCTATCACCTTACTTTTGCCAATTCATCTTTTTTTTTATGGGTATACAATTTATTGGTAGCCATTACATGAATTGGCTGTGCAATCCTGCCCTTGATATGATTCTTCCAACATCACAAATCAAAACTCTACATATCATAAGTTAAAAAATAGTCTTTTTCTCCTACTCTCCCTTCCTCTCTGGTATCCTATTGGTAAGAAGCTGAACTACAACCCCAAAGGTACGCAGTTCTAATCCACCAACTACTCCGTGGGAGAAGGATGGGAAATCTCCTCCTGTGTGATTTACTGCTTCTGAAAACCTGCTGGAGGCAAAGCTAGAGTCAATTCTAATTTGACAGCACATAACAACACAATTTACCTCTGGTAACCACTGATAAATAGGGTCTCTATGAGTTGCAGGCATCTTGACAGCACATAACAACAATGATGAGCCTATTTGTTCTCTCAGCAGTCCATGGTAAATCTTACTGATTTTTATATCCTGCAACTCTACTAAATTAGTCTACTAAGTCAAAGAGGGTTTTCTTTTGGTTAAGGCTTTAGGATTTTTTGGGTAAACCATCATATCATCTGTATACAGCAACACTTTTACGACCTTTTGCAGATGTGGATGCCTCTTATTTCCTTCTCTTGTTGTATTGCCCTAGGAAGTACTTTCAATACAATATTGAACAGGAATTGTGAAAGTGAACATCCTTGTCTAGCCCCTGTTTGCAAGGGAAATGCCTTTCATCTTTCTCTATTCAGAATGATGTTGGCTCTTGGGTTTGCATACATACTTTTCACTATATTGAGAAAATTCCCTTCTACTCTTGTTTTGTTGAATATTTTAATCAGGAAGGTGTGTTGAATTTTATTAAAGATCTTTTCTGTGTTGATTGTTAGAATTATGTGGTTCTTGTTCTTTGATTGTTTCTTTTATGTTGAGACATCCTTGCATGTCTGTTGTGAATTCCACTTGGCCCTGATGAATTTTTTTTTTATGTACTAGATTCTATTGTCCAGGACTTTGTTGAGGATTTCTACATCTATATTCATGAGAGATATTGTAATTTCCTTTTTTGATAATATCTTTGCCTAGTTTCAGTATTAGGGTTACTCTTGCTTCATGGAATAATTCTGAAAGTGATTTTTCTTTTTCTATTTTATAAATAATTTAAGTAGAATTGTGATAGCTCTATGAATGATAGGTAGAATTCAGTCTGAAAGCCTTCTGATCCAGGACATCTTTTGGAATGAGGCAAGGATAAGAGTCTTTTTATGACCTGCTCACTTTATTCTTTTGTGATGGGTCTTTTCAAGTGTTCTGCATCTCTTCATGTCAATCTGAATAGGGTGCGCATTTTAAGAAATTTGTCTGTTTCCTCTAGGTTTTCAACTTTATCAGAGTATAGCTTTTAATAATTTTTTATACTATTTATTTCATTTCAGCTGGTTCTGTTGTGATATCGCCTCCATTTTTTATTTGAATAATTTGCTTTTTTCGCTTTCTTTTCCTTTGGTATGCTTGCCAATGGCTTGTCTATTTTATTGACTCTTTTGAAGAACTAGTTCCTAGTCTTGTTGATGGTTACAATTGTTTTCTGTTTTCCATGTCATTGATTTCAGCTCTATCCTTCTAATTTTTCTAGAGGCTGTGTGGGGTTAGATTTTTGTTCTTTTTCTGCTTGATGGAAGTGCTTTGTCATTAATTTTTGCTTCTTTCTTTCTTGTTACATGTTTGCCTGTTGCTATGAATTGCCCTCTAAGGACTGTGTTAGCTGGAACTTAGAGGCTTTGGTATGGTGTATTTTCATTATTATTTATCTCAAAGAACTATTTTATTTCTTCTACAACCCAATTGCGTCCTAGAAGAGTGTTATTTATCTTCCTCTTAGGTCATTTTATAATCTTTGCC